CCCCCGCGTACAGCCGCCTCGTGGGAACACTGGCCCCGCCCAAATTGGTCAAAAGTCGCCCTAGGGCGGAGGCAGTGTCCACCAGCTTCGGACCAAGCTGTCGGAAGTGCTCGTCGAAGAGCCACCTACCGTCTAGGACCAGACCCAGGTACCTCATCTGGGCCAGGACCGGTACGAGGACCGAGCCGACCTCGATTGAGGCGCCGGCGGGTGGACCACGACGGGGCCCATGAAATAATAGGGCCTCCGTCTTATCCAGGGCCACCCGCAAACCCAACGCCTCAATGCGCCCGACCACCAGGGAAACTCCCGTGGCGGCCAGACGCGCCGCCTCCTGGAAGTTAGCCCCCCGGGCCGTGACTAAAGTGTCATCTGCGTAGCAGAGTACACCCAGCCCGGGGGGGAGACGCCGTCGTAGGGCCCAGTCGTATCCAATGTTCCACAAGAGTGGTCCTAGGACAGACCCCTGCGGAACACCGCACGACATGGCCCTGCGTCTCAAGACGCCATCTCGGTCCTCGTACATGACGGTTCGCTCCTCAAGATAGTCTGCCACCAGCCGCCTCAGGTACTTCGGCACTCCGTGGTAGCGGAGCGCTTCCCTGATGCACCTGAATGGCAGACTATTGAAGGCGTTGGCGATGTCCAAAGACACCGCCAACACCACTCCGCCGCAGCTCACAGCCTCCTCGGTCACGGCCCTAAGGCGCATCACGGCACCGATCGGCCCCTCTCGGAAACCGAATCGGGCGTCCGACAGATCGGGGCCAACCTCGCAAAGGTGCCGGACGATGCGGGCAGAGAGCACCCTCTCAAAAAGTTTACCCGCCTCGTCCAGCAACACGATAGGCCTATAGGCCGCGACCGAATCGGTAGGCCGTCCCGGCTTCCTCAGCAGGACCAGCTTCCCGCACTTCCAGCGCTCAGGGAACCGTCCGGACGCCAGGCTAGCGTCCAACACCCCCCTGAGGTGGTCCGACATGTAGTCGAGGGCTCGGGCCATCACTCGGGCTGGAACCCCGTCCGGCCCGGGGGCGGTGTTCTTGGATCGAATCCGTAAAACAGCCGCCCCCAACTCCGACTCCCTGACGGGCGGAACATCAGTTAGACCTAGTCGAACCCCAAACTCAGTTTTCGTTTATGTGGACCACCAAGGAAATCGATTTCGACCCCAAGGGACCGACCTCTTTGGGAATCCCTGGTTTAGCGTGTTTGTGTGGATTTAGCGGCCGCGGTCATGTATACGGTTCTTTTATTGTTTTATGTATATCGAGTTGATTCCCAGCTTATTTATAACAATTAAGATATGTCCACTTTATTAGTACTTAAAACTAGGATAGAATTCGACCCATTTTGGTAAGGTAAGTCGCGTTGTGAAATATTTAATCACGTCTCGCTTCGGTAGCGCTGCTGAGAGATCTGTGTTGCGACACGATTACTGCTCGTCGGCTTTACGCTCGAGAGAAACGTTCTCTAACACAAATATTTAAAGATTGCTAATTACAATCTTGCTATAACTTGTTTGCAAAACGTGTTATGAACGTAACATTGTGCCATGATCAATGGTAGACCAGGTAGACCTGATGGGAACATTAACAGTTCGTAAAAAATCTACGCAACGGCAGTGACGACTCTTAAAAATGTACTGCCTACCTAAATAGTGTTTCATATTAAGCGTCATCATGATTTTCCTGTTCTCTTCACTAATTTGGTTTTAATGGTCGGCGAATATGTAAAATTTCAGTGTTGTGGCTGTTTTTTTATATGACCGATTTTGTCTCCCCGATGTTAAGCCTCTTTGGTACTATAATTATTTTCAGACGGAACAAAGGAACATGGTAAACAGGGGGTGAGGGAACTTTCATCCGTCCCTCCTATGATTGGGCCCACCACTTTGACGCGAATGTGAAACAACCGTAACTACTAGGACCGTATTTTATTAATGGACACGCTCTTCGAACATCGGTGTTAATGTACACGCCCTGAGGTCAAGAATTCTAACCATGAATCTTCAACTTCATACAACTAACGTAAATACGTGATATCCTGTAGCGCATCATGACCTAGAACCAATAGAACATTGTATGTCAAGCGCTTAGCGGTCCTCTAAACAAATAAAGCGAGACTACGAGACGATAAATAAAATTGTATATGAATTAAAATCCTGTATAATTTCTGAAAAAAAACCAATGTATTACAGGATAATATCAAGTATTAGCATTCATAGTATGGCTGGCAGCAGATGAGTACGGACTGCCCAAGACAGTATGACAGTGTAGCAGTAGTTAGGGGTGTAGATAGCTCCATTCTAACGCATGCTACTACGAATAATGTATTTTTTTTAAAGACTACTGCCGCACTAGGAATATATCCTTTGTCGCGGGGGACTTTACAAACTTACATGAAACGGACGCAAAGAACACCCAGACTCGGATCAATAATTTGTGGATCACACAAAGTGTTGTCCCATGTGGGGATCGATTCCAAAACACTTATCGTAGTAGAAAGCGACGAGGTGACCGCTTAAACCAGTACGCTATCCGATGTCGTATTCTATTCCTAGTGTTCAAATAGTTACAAGTATCTGAGGTGCTGGTGATATTCCTTTGCATAATTAGTTGCATGCATATGTATATGATGCTGATTTCAATGAGTTCAGCTGGGACCTAGTGACTTCAACTCAGACCTATGTTACTATAATACTTTATAATGTAATAAAGTTTCAAATACTTTGATAATATTTATTTATTCTGTTTTAAGGTTAATGTAAAATATTACATGTAGTGCTATAAAATGTTTTACGTTTAGTAAGAAGATACTAAAATGTTTTCACGACAACTACCCTATAATGACGTTCAATGAATCTCGATAGCCTAGAAGATCGATTTATCACGCAATGCCACTGTTTTCATAGAAAAAACTGAAACGAGGCCATCCATATCATCTTTGTGTTGGTATTCCTGGCATATTGTCACGAGAGCCGCATTCAAATATATCTTAATCGTATCAATAATATGTACATTTTTATTCTAACAACGATTTCTTCGCAACTATGCTGTCATCAAACAAACGTCAATTACAAGGAATTTATAACCATAAGTACTGGCGAAGATGGATTGTTTGAGTATGTTTTAATTAAAATCCGGCAAGAGCGCTAGCTTGGTGTGCATTGCGTTTCTATTAGGTAGCTTGGTGTCTTAAAGGTAGGTTATTTTTTTAATACAAAATTCAGTTTTTCGTCATTCGAAATGACAATACTATACATTTCATGAATGAGTTTGTTTTACGCGTCTAATTGTTTAAAGCTAATTGGCGCAAACATTTACCTATATGAAAGACTAGTCTTCATAAAGTAGGTAATTGTTTAAGTACCATGTAGGCGTCCAGGGTGGTCTCTATACGTAAGGTCCATTCCAGGTTTGATTTGATCAATCACGACATCTAGCACACTAGAGAGGCTGAATCCCAACCATATCCTTGGAAACCGCACGACTCCAACCAGTAACCCGTAAATCAGAGATTTGGGAAGGCAAAATACTGAAATACTCAAAACAGTCAGACTATTCTGTCAATTAAGGAGGAAATATAATGCTATATGACAGTTGCATTCAAAAATATAATTAAAATAATAATATACCAAAAATGAGAGAGAAATGCATAATATAACAAGTATTTTTTACCTACATAGTAAGCAATCATTCTATAGGTATGTATAAAATTGTGGTACCCTGTGGTTCAAACTTCGATTGCCTTACTCATTGTCCTGTTACCACGGATTATTTGCTGCAACAAAATATGAACATAAATCTAAATTTCCATCCAATCCATTAAATTTATAAAAGATTCAATGAAATAAAATCCATTAAACTTATGTTTAAAGACACGTTTTCAAATACACCTTCATTATTTTGAAGGATTATAATAGGATCAAGGCTCTATAACCGCATATTACAAGAAGGTAGAGAAGATATTTTAAGTGTGTACAGTACGCATAAATTGAGATTTGTCGTCTGATTTATGTTTGATTATACACTCAACTCACGATTGTGTTTTGCTCAAGCACAAAGTTACCGGCAGTTATTGTACGTTCGCTTTGTGTTTGAACGCATACAACCCACTTGTTGAACTTCAGATTCAATGGTTGTATTCTTTTGTCAAAATGCTTAATGATATTTACTTTTAATTTAATTTAATCCTGAACCGTCAACTAAGGTCATTTCACAGTTTCATATTTACGAGAGTGTTTCTATGAATATACGAGTGGCATTTTGTTTTATTGCCTACATACATTACATTTCATTTCATTAATTTTATAACTCATTTTATGTGCTTATGCGCTCACGCACCTACCCATTGTTGTTGAACGGTATTTTTGGTCCCTTATATAAAAGTAAATAAAAAATAATTGTCTAATGAACTTTATGAAACAGGGGTATGAACATACAAGCAATTAGGAGACAAGTCGTCATAAGCTGTCAGCAATATTTTTGATTCTAGTGTGTGTTATTAAAGGTTTTACTAACACACACTAGAATCAAAAATATACACTATCACTATTGGACTTTTTAGAATTCATCAAAACGTATAGTTATTTTAAGAGTTAACTTTATGAAACCGTTAGAAAAAACACATATCATAATATAATCGTGTCCGATTCTACGGCCGCATTAGTGTTCCTAGTGACCTCGACAAGTTTATTGCAACCTTAGAAGTCGCCGTGCAGGCATGCGGTGGACATATTGGAACTGTGGATTGCATTTACTGTACTAGGAATGTGATCCTATTTAAAAACTAAGAATTGCAGTTGCATCGTTTTAGGAGTTCGGACGTAACAAACTTTAAGAAAGAACAAGACGGTTAGACGATCACCTCTTTTTTGAATCGGTTAAATGTAAAAGTTACCCAAAAATAGTTTTACATTTTAAAAAAATTTCATACTTGATAGATAGTACAGATGTAGTTAGTGTTCGGGATCTAAACAATTTTTTTTCTTATTCCAGTCATGGTGAAAAATGGCGGCAATTTCGCTCGAAGGTTCAGCGTCCAATACTGCAACCACAGACTGTGAAGAAGTACGTAGCGCCCATCGAGCATGTGACGGAAGACTTCCTCAAGTATATGGTGAACGCGCGGGACGAGAACGGAGACCTGCCCCACGAGTTCGATAACGACATTCATCGGTGGTCGCTCGAATGTGAGTTGAGTCTGCGTGAAAGTAGCTCCTAACAAACGATTTCTAAGTAATCTAGTATAGGTACATCGAGAAGGGTAATCTGTAGATTCAGAAGTTATTCTACAGTACTTTGCAACACTTTATATATTTATTATTATTTTAGTGAAAACAAACAAACAGTCAAGGGTTGTGTAAGTTTTTCGTAAACGATTCACGTTAAGTGATTCTATTGTTATATAAAAAATCTAGGAAGGAGAATCTGCAAGAGAGGCCATATCTAGGTACTTAATAATATGTATGTATTTACAACAAAAAATAATATATCAGTCAATCTAGCTCTCACAATACAAGCTCTGCTTGGTTTGAAACTATATATATATTATATATTTATTGGATGTCTGTAAATATTATTATTATCTTATATATAAAATTCTCGTGTCACAATGTTAGTTACCATACTCCTCCGAAACGGCTGGACCAATCTTTATGAAATTTTGTGTGCACATCGAGTAGGTCTGAGAATCGGTCAACATCTTATTTTCATACCCCTAAAAGACAAGGGTGATCACCCCTATTTTTTTTTTCAATATTTCCTAGAAATTGTGGCGACTTTGCCGGGTCAGCTAGTTACTTATATTTTTTATTACAGCTTGAAGTCTGTTAGAATGCTGTGAAGACCATATTTCTGTTAACATGCAATGATAAATTCCCAAGTGATAGGCGTAACCATTGTAACTAGTAAATCAGTTTTAGCCTGAAGTTGGTAGACAATAGAAGTACTTCTTCCTCTTTATCGACTTTTTTGGACTTAAAGAAATTACTTTTTTTTTGTTGAACACATGCTCAACAAAAAAAAGTGCATACATGTTTGCAAAGTGCAGTAAGAAATGTTGGTAAGTAGGGTCTCCAGAGCTGCATGACTTCACTGCACTCAATTCCAACCTGTACTTGACCTTGGTCTAAAGTTTTTATTTGTTGAATAGAATCAATAGAGTTGAGAGATATTGATGTGATATTATTATGTTTCCTCGTTAGTTAATAGTTAAGTTATTTCTAGGTATTGGTCGCGTGGCGCTTGACGTACGGCTGGGTTGTTTATCGTCGCAGCTGAGTAGTAACTCGGAGCCGCAACGCATCATTGACGCGGCCAAGTTCGCTTTGAGGAATGTCGCAGTGCTCGAACTGAAGGCTCCTTACTGGAGATATATCCCAACACCACTCTGGACTAAATACGTGAACAATATGAACTTTTTCGTTGAGTAAGTGCAAAGAAATTTATTATTTAGCCACCTTTATCATCATCATCATATGCCTTTAAAAGTCCACTGCTGGACATAGCCTCTCCTTAGAAAGGTGATTTTGGTCTACTATACCACGCTGGCTACACGGATTGATAAAGGGTTTGTTTCAAGTTTTCCTTCTCTTTGCAGTGCTGTTGTCCTGCGTAGTTTTTTCCCTTAGTCGGCTCTTACGACATCCACGGCATGAATAGTGACACTCGGTATTCTTCATCCACACCTCTTTGAGTAATAATATTAACAGCGAATATGTTTTGATGTAAAATAGTCAATTATTAGCCTTCAGTACTGTAAAAATTACACATTAATTCCCGAAAGCCTGTGTCATTGTTATTTCTCAGCTATTTTTGTTCTCGCCTACTTTATCAGTTTCAATCGCATTTCATTAGTATATTTTATAGTATGTCACGCACCACATGTTTAAAATATTAAAATTGTAATTTTTAATAGTATTATTAATGTAACCAACATAGGGTGCGATTCCATAAACTGATTATATTTTATTACTTTTATAGTTTTATTAATAGTATAACATTTAATATTACACAGATTACACGAAATAAACGCAATTCATTTTAAATTATGGCAATAACCACAATAGGTACACAAAACTCGCAACGCACACTACGTAATTATTAACAATTCTCACCGATATTCTATTAGGTATATTAATTGTTATTCTTCCCCCTTTCTTATTTACTGTAACGCTGAACTGGGATGTCTTCACACCGGATGGTGGCGAGTATTTATTTTCTGGGCTTAGTTTATAAAAAGTTCTACAAGCTACGTGAACGATCGGGAACAGTCTCCTAGTAATCGAACTCTCTTGACACCGCTCTAGAAACAAAGGAGTCACGAGCAAAAACGCGTCAGCGGTCAAAACGATCTTTGAATTGCACCGTCAGACAGTCTGCCAGGTTAATGAAAGTTAAAAACACACGACTTTTAATAATGATTATAATAAAAGCGCCTCAGCTTAGCCTAACGCATAATAAGACTTTGTAAACTCGTCCGTTTCTTCCAGGCTCTGCAGTCGTTACATAAACGAAGCACTTGAACGCCTCAAAACAAAGAAAGTCACGTCAGAGAATGATCTGTCGCTGCTAGAGCGCGTCCTCCAGAGTGAGGGAGATCCAAAGATCGCCACCGTTATGGCACTTGACCTTATTCTCGTTGGCATAGATACGGTAAGTTTTTATTTACAGTTATTTATAGTACGTATTTACAGTAGTAAATAAAGAGAACAGTAAATACAGCTATTGATGTATTCCAAGATCTCACCAACAGTTGTTTAACACCAAACTTGATGAACTTTCATAGAGCGCGTATTAGAAATTGTATAACAGGTTACTACAAATTGCAAACAGTGAATATCACAGAAGCAGAAAGGAGTTTTATATTTAATTAATTAGTTATTAATGTTTAAAAGTTCAATATTTTTTACTAATAGTATATATGTACATACATTCTCAGATATCCATGGCTGTCTGTTCAATCCTGTATCAGACAGCGACTAGGTTGAAACAGCAAGAGAAAATGGCCGAGGAGATCGAGAGAGTCCTGCCTGATCCCAGCAAACCGATCTCGTACTCCGACTTAGATAAACTGCACTACACTAAGGCGTTTGTACGGGAAGTATTCAGGTAAAGAAACAATTCATAGGCTAATATTATTTAGTAAAAAAGGCCATGTCCTCAAAACAGCACAGTACAAAGTTTGATTTGATTGTAATCAATTATGATGGCTTATGTTTTTGTTGATTTGGTTATTCCATTGAACAAACATTTTGGTTATTTAGAGCGCCCTGTAATCCACAAGAATTGAACGTCATAAATTATGAGCCAAAGTTCGTGACCTGTTGTTTTATCGTATTATAATAATAATAATAATATTCTACCACATTCACACAACGCCATCTAGTTCCAAACTAAGCAGAGCTTGTACTATGGGTACTAGACAACTGATATAAATAATAAATAATTTTAGTTGTAACTAATTTGCCAACGTTTTAAGTAAAAACTTTTAAATATAAAATAAGGATTGAAGATAAGATTAATTTAGATATTTGTTAGTGACTGTGGCTAACTGTAAACTGAATGCGTTATGGTATTGGGTCCTGTAGTTAAATGAGTTCAAACTCTGGGTGCTTAGACAGTTCCCTAAAATTTGCGTGTTTCTTTAATATAGTTCAGCTATAAATCATTTATTATTCGTCATGTATAATTAAAAGTAACAATTATTTTGCAGAATGTATTCTACAGTTATTGGCAATGGTAGAACGCTTCAAGAAGACGATGTTATTTGTGGTTATCATATTCCTAAAGGGGTGAGCGCGTAAATTCAGAACTTTTTTTTTTAAGGATAATTTTATTTGTTAAGTAAGGATATAAATTTATTATATTATCATACTCAATATTTTTAAGTTTTATGAAATAGCAAAATAATAACTGTTTTTTTTTTTCTGTTAAAGTTTTAATGTGACTATGGAAAAGCCAGATATTCAATATCATTTAAAAGTGTATTTTATGTTAGATACTTTTTATTCAACAGGTTCAAGTGGTATTCCCCACTATCGTGACCGGCAATATGGAACAGTTTGTGTCCGACCCTGAGGAGTTCAAGCCGGAACGGTGGCTCAAGTCTGATGGTAAACTGCATCCATTTGCCTCCTTACCTTATGGTTTTGGAGCAAGAATATGCTTAGGTCGCAGATTTGCAGATTTAGAGATTCAGATCCTTCTTGCAAAGGTAACTATTAAAACCTATTTTATTTAACTCTATTAACACTCATACGTATTCAAAAGAAACAGTTATGAGAATCGTCATAAGTAATATTTTAGTCCAAAGAATTTGCTTCCAACTTTGTTTAACGCAAATCATAAGAAAAATTCTATTTATATTATTTTACCTTTAATTTATTAAGTAATCAAAAAAAAAAACCTGCTACGTCATCATCATCATCAACAGTCTTTAATAGTCCACTGCTGGACATAGGCCTCTCCTTAAGAAAGGATATTTTACCACCTACATTTTTAGTAAATTTCCTATTGGCGTGTATTAGTAGTTACATATTATCAAAAGCCTACCCCATTCTGACTAGGGCCGTATCCACCAAAAACTTATTTTAAATATAATAAATAGACATATTTCCAAAAAAAGTTTCGTATTTACACATTAATTATTGGCAATATTTTTTTTTTCATATATTTTCTTGAATATTTTTCAGTTGCTCCGTCGGTATCGTCTGGAATATCACTTCGAGCCACTCGACTACGCGGTCACATTTATGTACGCGCCTGACGGACCTTTGCGTCTGCGCATGATTGACCGATAAATTTTAATGTCGACGAACAATATGAACGCTCTCTTTACACTTATTAGATACGTATATTTATAGGCGCAGGCAGAGTGGTATTAAATAGCAACATTTTGTCAAATTATAAATATATATGATAAATTTGAAGTAAGTAAGTAATTTGTGTGTGGGTATAGTTTTGTGTTCTTTAGAGTAAAAAGTTGTTATTTTGAACCGTAACCCATTAAATATAATGTACAGAAATTTCATGAATTAAATGTAAATAAACTTTTTTATTATGGACGTGTTTATTTCATATTAATGTTATCGTAATTGAATACAAGAGAGCTGACACTGTGAAATTAACTTGGTTCTAAGCCTTAAGCTTGTCGAAGCTACTTATGACGGCATAAAATCTTAGCCCCAGTTACCCCTACAGAGGTGCCTCGACATTTTACTAGATCTACACTCTTGTCGCTAAGCTCCAATTATATCTCGCAAACTCGCAATTATATCTCACAAATAATTATTTTTTATGGTATAAGAGGGAAACTAGCATAGGGGTCACCTGATGGTAAGTGACTACTGCCGCCCATTAGAGGGTCTGATCTGAGGACAAAGAATAGAGACGACTGTTACTATTGACTTTGTTTCATGAACAAAGTAGTAGAAGAATACAGTGCAGAATATTTATTTCTTATTTAACCTACAGTTTAAAAATAGTCCAAGCTAAAACAAAAGTACGTCCTTAGCTTCTTGAGCTTGGCTTTTGAAAGACCATCCTTGCTCTCTAAGCATATTCTTATTCAAAAACATTTAAGAAGCGTGACTCTCGCGAACTCTTTTTAACCATCCCATAATTTGGGAAAAAAGGATAATGAAAAGCCAGACAGGGATAAAATTTTCATGAAATTTAGTATGCAGGAGGTTTCGGGGTTTCATTTCTAGAAAATTTACAAAAAAAAAAAATACCGAGTAAAGCTACTAATTTATATGTACACAAACCGTGAATTCTATTTTATGCGAGTTGTTGTCGCTTGTAGATTGTCAGGCACTCATTAGCTAATGTATACCTAAATAAACAATAAGCATTACCACTGGGTGCGCTAGCTATAGATATTTTAAAATATACCAATAATTATTTATTTTATGATGAGGGGGTGGGGATGGTAAGTGACTACCGTCGCCCATGGATACCTACAACTCACAAGAGCGTCGCGTGAGCCCTCTCCCATCCATAATCAGAGTTTTGGGCTCTGGTAACCTCACTCGGTGAAAAGCAACAAAATAATTGCTCAACACCGTTTTTCTGTGAAGCAGAGGACTCTTAATATAATATATACCTTGATACATCCTACTCACGGCTGTCTGATCCCAAACTAGGCGGAGCTTGTGTGTTAATTATGTGGTGATCAGACTGCTGATAAACATACTTTAATATGAGATGCAGAACAAATGATAGTGTATTTATTTTTCTTATGGCGATATATTCGCTCTGCAACATTTTATAAATAAATAATAAACAATACCAGTCATCATCATCATCACCAACCTTTACTAGTCCACTGCTGGACATGGGCCTCTCCTTAGAAAGGAGGTTTTCTCCTACTAAACCACGTCACCACTCGGACTAGACAACACGGAACAATACCAATAATAGTAATAAAATTTTATTAACAAAAATGGCGGCCTCATCGCTAAAGAGCAATCTATTGCAGGCCACACTTGGATGATAAATTGACAGTAACCAGACGATTTCATGGGTAGGTAGAGTAGGTGTGTGTATGCTTTCGAGACTCGAAAATGCTTCTAAAATCTAGAAGGATTTTTCACTTGCTCATTAAATTCAATTAATATTAACTAGCAACTCTTTTCTATGAAGCTTAATAAATGAATTTCTCTAAGCGACTTAAGAAATTCGACACAGAATTACTTAAAATTGCCTTTCGTGATTTGTTAATGGGTATGTATGTCGTCAATGTGTCCTGTTTTGTTTTGTTTATTTTTTTGTTTTATATTATTAAAAAAAAACAAATGCTTTGTAGTTTTTTTTCCCTACCTGTGACATGACTTACATTGCCAAGATGATGTTGTACCGCGGTTTGTAAGGTTTGATACTTACGAACAATAGCTGGTACCAAGCATGATATTACTTTCTAAAGGAACAATACAACATTAGTTCCAGAAAGTTATGCGGTTTACTTACCACTGTCTTGTTGATAAGCTACGTTTCCACTATTTAAGTTGTGTTTGGCTTCGTTTATTTTGTGGTAGAAGAAAGTATTCGCGCAATGAAGGTATAGGAGAATATGAATAATCATTTAGAAAAAGACGCCTGTTTAAATCACTAGTGAACTGTAAGATTATTTATTATCAGGCGCCAACTAAGAGGCGGAGCGGGACCGGGAGAGGTTTAGAACCGGGAACGGGCCAGGTACCGCAGGCGACTCAGGCGCCGGAGGTCGCAGAACAACCTCCGTCCTCCATAAGCGCAGGCCTGGGGGTGACAGGTGAGGCCATCTGTCACCCTAGCAGAAGCAGGCCGGGGTGGCGGCAAGCGCGTTGCGAAGCGCGCTCGCTTCAAGGGAGCACCGGGAACATGGGGTTCCCATACGGGGGGGGGGGGGTCGTCTACTCGTCTGTAGATGACCCGAGGTATGTCGGGGTACCAGGGACTTCCTTTCTAGGGTATACCTGGTTCCCCGGCTATTAGTACCCGAAACGGCGTGCGGTTTTAGTCGGTTCGAGTCCGACATGCCACCGACAGGTGGTATCCGAGGGGATTTCCGCACGGAAAAAAAAAAAAATAAAAAAAAAAAAGGCGCCAACTAAGAATCTAATTTATTTATAGCATAGCATTAGTATACACAATCAGTGTAGTATAAATAATTGATAAGTGCAAGTCTGATTCGCATGCTCAGGGTTTCGTACAAACCTGTTTGTAGATTAGAGATGAGTCGGAGAATAGTTCAAAAGGATATCGGGCCACCCTTGAAGTCAAATCACAGGAAGTTCTGCAATTTTAAAACAGATGTCAACAGCCTTTGAGCCATAGAAAACGAGATATTCCCAAAAAACAATTCAAAGAAAAAAAAATCTAGAATTTATTTCTCATCTCAAGAGAAAATAAGAATGAATTCCTAATTTTTTTTGGGCTAAGACAACTAACTATATATATGTACATAAACATTTATAAACTTTTGCAACAATTAAAGACAATCAATACTTCTCGATACCATCCGTACTTAGTCTCGTAAAATACCAGAGTGTAACAATGATATTGCACTAATTTAAATAATTTCTACATTTCCAATTCACACGTGCGACTTATTTGTTAAAGTTGTTTTTTAAATACTAATTAGGTACGTACAAGGATCCTTGGCCTAATCCAAAATTAGTTATATGTAGGTATTTTGTCATAATACGATAAGGGAGTGGCTTGTGCAATGTCGTGTCGCGGCACCTTTGTCACATGGATATGTTGTTTAACCATCAATACTCGTCCGTTCATCCATTGTTTGCTCTACGTACATTTGTTTTAGGACGCCTAGTTACACAAACGTCTTCCTCTGATCACGTATAATTACATAATCTCCATGCTTTCGGGATGGTGTCATGTGTAAGAAATAGCTCGTAGGTACTATTAGCTGTTTCATATGATTTAGGTACGTCATTAATCCTGATGGTATGTGGTGATTAGTTGTTAGCTAAATATTAAGGACGAATAAAGTATAAAAACAGCAAGGCAGCCCCAGTTACCTGATTTACTATAGATCGCATGATCAGGACTTCTTGCTTAGGTAGAATAAATAAGTAGCTTAACAATTTTAATTGTAGTTATGGTACCATCCTTACCATTTTCTTTTAAATAATGTTTTTGCGGTTAACCTAATTATAACTTAGGTCAATATCAGGATAAAAAGCATCATACTTCAATCGACTGTACTACACCTCAGTCACCTATCTTTCCAAATAGGGACCGGTAATAGCGACAGACGGGGCCTAATATTAAAAAATCAGAAGACTTGTAAGAAGATTCAAACGGTATGGTAGATAGGCTACCATAACTGTTGTATAATACCACTTCAAGCCATTTTTAGTAATTAGGTCTAACACGAACTTAAAACGATTTTCTTGTTAGCAATTTTTCTAGCAAATCAAGGCATATTCTTATTTATAAACACTCCTAGCAACGTCAAACAGACTTTTAAGAATAAACAAAATCTACTAAAATGTTATACACAGGCACTGAGTAACGACTGGTCTGTTTGAAGGCGGAGCCTGGTCTGTTTAGATACTTGAAAAATAGGTTAGGACAACCGCAGTGTCTGTAAGGGGCTTTATGTCACAAAATAAATTAAACGTCGATGATGCACGCCTCAAAAGAAATTGAATTTTGAAAATATATTTTTTTAAGATATGGTGGACAAAAGCGGGGTTGGGTACAACATAGAATGGTTGAGTGTGCAGACAGTATCTCACAGTTTTACTGATAGTTGTGTTCGATCCTCCGAAATCCTCACCTGTTGTTGTCGATTAAAGCATTCCATCATCTAACCAAAGGGTCTGAGATGGTCTTGTGATCCTTTCTAACCATTTAGATGTATGTAGTACGATTAGATGATGGTAGCTACTGCTAATAGTAAACTGTGTAGACAGGAAATGTGGTCTGAACTGAGTGCCTAGTTCCATTTGGTTCGACTCTCGTATTATTTAGTTACTTCACCTATTTCCTCTAATTAAGTAAGGGGAAGATCCTACATGATAGAAATAACTCCACACCAATGTGCGTGTTATATTTAATTTTCATCTATATTATTTACATAGGTAGTATATTTCTGTTTCGAATATATCTTACTGATACTTTATTTTATAATTGAACCAATATCGTCACGCACAGAATAAGGCATTGTTCTGTGATGTTACTTGAATAATGATGTACGATGTGGCGATGTACGTATGTCAGTGTATTTCGATTGAAACGTCAGGCAAAAAAAGGTTCTCACAGTCCTAAACCTACTCGTAATCGTGATAATATA